GTTAGAAAACTTTAACCTTCGATATCTCCTAAACGGTTAGAGATACAGGCTTCGGACAGGTACCAAATTAAAGCCCTTTCAAAACCCTACATTTTGGACTACAATGACGACCCTCTACTCCCAATAGAAGCGGAGATATCGACGGATGAAGGCTGGATATCGACGGAGAAAGGTTAGAAAACTTTAACCTTCGATATCTCCTAAACGGTTAGAGATACAGGCTTCGGACAGGTACCAAATTAAAGCCCTTTCAAAACCCTACATTTTGGACTACAATGACGACCCTCTACTCCCAATAGAAGCGGAGATATCGACGGATGAAGGCTGGATATCGACGGAGAAAGGTTAGAAAACTTTAACCTTCGATATCTCCTAAACGGTTAGAGATACAGGCTTCGGACAGGTACCAAATTAAAGCCCTTTCAAAACCCTACATTTTGGACTACAATGACGACCCTCTACTCCCAATAAAAGCGGAGATATCGACGAATGAAGGCTGGATATCGACGGAGAAAGGTTAGAAAACTTTAACCTTCGATATCTCCTAAACGGTTAGAGATACAGGCTTCGGACAGGTACCAAATTAAAGCCCTTTCAAAACCCTACATTTTGGACTACATGGACGACCCTCTACTCCCAATAGAAGCGGAGATATCGACGGATGAAGGCTGGATATCGACGGAGAAAGGTTAGAAAACTTTAACCTTCGATATCTCCTAAACGGTTAGAGATACAGGCTTCGGACAGGTACCAAATTAAAGCCCTTTCAAAACCCTACATTTTGGACTACATGGACGACCCTCTACTCCCAATAGAAACGGAGATATCGACGAATGAAGGCTGGATATCGACGGATAAAGGTTCGAAAACTTTAACCTTCGATATCTCCTAAACGGTTAGAGATACAGGCTTCGGACAGGTACCAAATTAAAGCCCTTTCAAAACCCTACATTTTGGACTACATGGACGACTCTCTACTCCCAGTAGAAAGCGGAGATATCGACGGAGAAAGGTTGGAAAACTTTAACCTTCGATATCTCCTAAACGGTTAGAGATACAGGCTTCGGACAGGTATCAAATTAAAGCCCGTTCAAAACCCTACATTTTGGACTACATGGACGACCCTCTACTCCTAATAGAAGCGGAGATATCGACGGATGAAGGCTGGATATCGACGTAGAAAGGTTTGGAAAACTTTAATCTTCGATATCTCCTAAACGGTTAGAGATACAGGCATCGGACTGGTACCAAATTAAAGCCCTTTCAAAACCCTACATTTTGGACTACATGGACGACTCTCTACTCCCAGTAGAAGCGGAGATATCGACGGAGAAAGGTTGGAAAACTTTAACCTTCGATATCTCCTAAACGGTTAGAGATACAGGCTTCGGACAGGTACCAAATTAAAGCCCGTTCAAAACCCTACATTTTGGACTACATGGACGACCCTCTACTCCCAGTAGAAGCGGAGATATCGACGGATGAAGGCTGGACATCGACGGAGAAAGGTTGGAAAACTTTAACCTTCGATATCTCCCAAACGGTTAGAGATACAGGCTTCGGACAGGTACCAAATTAAAGCCCGTTCAAAACCCTACATTTTGGACTACATGGACGACTCTCTACTCCCAGTAGAAGCGGAGATATCGACGGAGAAAGGTTGGAAAACTTTAACCTTCGATATCTCCTAAACGGTTAGAGATACAGGCTTCGGACAGGTACCAAATTAAAGCCCGTTCAAAACCCTACATTTTGGACTACATGGACGACCCTCTACTCCTAGTAGAAGCGGAGATATCGACGGATGAAGGCTGGATATCGACGGAGAAAGGTTTGGAAAACTTTAATCTTCGATATCTCCTAAACGGTTAGAGATACAGGCATCGGACTGGTACCAAATTAAAGCCCTTTCAAAACCCTACATTTTGGACTACATGGACGACTCTCTACTCCCAGTAGAAGCGGAGATATCGACGGAGAAAGGTTGGAAAACTTTAACCTTCGATATCTCCTAAACGGTTAGAGATACAGGCTTCGGACAGGTACCAAATTAAAGCCCGTTCAAAACCCTACATTTTGGACTACATGGACGACCCTCTACTCCTAGTAGAAGCGGAGATATCGACGGATGAAGGCTTCATATCGACGGAGAAAGGTTTGGAAAACTTTAATCTTCGATATCTCCTAAACGGTTAGAGATACAGGCATCGGACTGGTACCAAATTAAAGCCCTTTCAAAACCCTACATTTTGGACTACATGGACGACTCTCTACTCCCAGTAGAAGCGGAGATATCGACGGAGAAAGGTTGGAAAACTTTAACCTTCGATATCTCCTAAACGGTTAGAGATACAGGCTTCGGACAGGTACCAAATTAAAGCCCGTTCAAAACCCTACATTTGGACTACATGGACGACCCTCTACTCCCAGTAGAAGCGGAGATATCGACGGATGAAGGCTGGATATCGACGGAGAAAGGTTGGAAAACTTTAACCTTCGATATCTCCTAAACGGTTAGAGATACAGGCTTCGGACTGGTACCAAATTAAAGCCCTTTCAAAACCCTACATTTTGGACTACATGGACGACTCTCTACTCCCAGTAGAAACGGAGATATCGACGGATGAAGGCTGGATATCGACGAAGAAAGGTTTGGAAAACTTTAACCTTCGATATCTCCTAAACGGTAAGAGATACAGGCTTCGGACATGTACCAAATTAAAGCCCGTTCAAAACCCTACATTTTGGACTACTTGGACGACCCTCTACTCCCAGTAGAAGCGGAGATATCGACGGATGAAGGCTGGATATCGACGGAGAAAGGTTGGAAAACTTTAACCTTCGATATCTCCTAAACGGTTAGAGATACAGGCTTCGGACTGGTACCAAATTAAAGCCCTTTCAAAACCCTACATTTTGGACTACATGGACGACCCTCTACTCCCAGTAGAAGCGGAGATATCGACGGATGAAGGCTGGATATCGACGAAGAAAGGTTTGGAAAAATTTAACCTTCGATATCTTCTAAACGGTTAGAGATACAGGCTTCGGACTGGTACCAAATTAAAGCCCTTTCAAAACCCTACATTTTGGACTACATGGACGACTCTCTACTCCCAGTAGAAGCGGAGATATCGACGGAGAAAGGTTGGAAAACTTTAACCTTCGATATCTCCTAAACGGTTAGAGATACAGGCTTCGGACAGGTACCAAATTAAAGCCCTTTCAAAACCCTACATTTTGGACTACATGGACGACTCTCTACTCCCAGTAGAAGCGGAGATATCGACGGAGAAAGGTTGGAAAACTTTAACCTTCGATATCTCCTAAACGGTTAGAGATACAGGCTTCGGACAGGTACCAAATTAAAGCCCGTTCAAAACCCTACATTTTGGACTACATGGACGACTCTCTACTCCCAGTAGAAGCGGAGATATCGACGGAGAAAGGTTGGAAAACTTTAACCTTCGATATCTCCTAAACGGTTAGAGATACAGGCTTCGGACAGGTACCAAATTAAAGCCCGTTCAATACCCTACATTTTGGACTACATGGACGACCCTCTACTCCCAGTAGAAGCGGAGATATCGACGGATGAAGGCTGGACATCGACGGAGAAAGGTTGGAAAACTTTAACCTTCGATATCTCCTAAACGGTTAGAGATACAGGCTTCGGACAGGTACCAAATTAAAGCCCGTTCAAAACCCTACATTTTGGACTACTTGGACGACCCTCTACTCCCAGTAGAAGCGGAGATATCGACGGATGAAAGCTGGATATCGACGAAGAAAGGTTTGGAATACTTTAACCTTCGATATCTCCTAAACGGTTAGAGATACAGGCTTCGGACTGGTACCAAATTAAAGCCCTTTCAAAACCCTACATTTTGGACTACATGGACGACTCTCTACTCCCAGTAGAAGCGGAGATATCGACGGAGAAAGGTTGGAAAACTTTAACCTTCGATATCTCCTAAACGGTTAGAGATACAGGCTTCGGACAGGTACCAAATTAAAGCCCTTTCAAAACCCTACATTTTGGACTACATGGACGACCCTCTACTCCCAGTAGAAGCGGAGATATCGACGGATGAAGGCTGGATATCGACGGAGAAAGGTTGGAAAAGTTTAACCTTCGATATCTCCTAAACGGTTAGAGATACAGGCTTCGGACAGGTACCAAATTAAAGCCCTTTCAAAACCCTACATTTTGGACTACATGGACGACTCTCTACTCCCAGTAGAAGCGGAGATATCGACGGATGAAGGCTGGATATCGATGGAGAAAGGCTGGAAAACTTTAACCTTCGATATCTCCTAAACGGTTAGAGATACAGGCTTCGGACTGGTACCAAATTAAAGCCCTTTCAAAACCCTACATTTTGGACTACATGGACGACTCTCTACTCCCAGTAGAAGCGGAGATATCGACGGATGAAGGCTGGATATCGATCGAGAAAGGCTGGAAAACTTTAACCTTCGATATCTCCTAAACGGTTAGAGATACAGGCCTGGCTCTGGCACCAAATTAAAGTCCTCTCAAAACCCTACATTTTGCCGTAAATGGCGACTCTCTACTCCCAGTAGAAGCGGAGATATCAACGGAGAAAGGTTGGAAAACTTTAACCTTCGATATCTCCTAAACGGTTAGAGATACAGGCCTGGTTCTGGCACTAAATTAAAGTCCTCTCAAAATCCTACATTTTCGACTACATGGACGACTCTCTACTCCCAGTAGAAGCGGAGATATCAACGGAGGAAGGCTGGATATCGATGGAGAAAGGCTGGAAAACTTTAACCTTCGATATCTCTTAACCTTCGATAACCTTCGATAAACGGTTAGAGATACAGGCCTGGCTCTGGCACCAAATTAAAGTCCTCTCAAAACCCTACATTTTGCCGTAAATGGCGACTCTCTACTCCCAGTAGAAGCGGAGATATCAACGGAGAAAGGTTGGAAAACTTTAACCTTCGATATATTAATTAAAATGATTCTCTTTATTAGATCCGATTTCGAGTCGGTCGACGCGATTTAGCGATACACGTGAGAGTGTCGCGGTTATTTTTCAAAGAGAGAGAGAGAGAGCGGATGTTATTCCGTCTCATATTGATATTTTCGCGATTGTGATTCCCGGGTGATTCACGTCTTGAACGGCACGCCCGTGAATTTCTCCTCCGGTAGACCTCCGTACTGCCTCCGACGTGAGACCTCGACCGCGATAAAGTCCACCTGCCGTCTCGGGAAACGCAATCTCGGGTCCTTCGAGAGGGGTACTAACGGTACGTTGAACCAGCCGTACCTGCGAAGGATCTACCTTGAGAAGGACGAATTCTCTTATTTGCACTTACTCGTCTCGCGCAAAGGCGCGTACTCCATGTTCGCTGCCGGTGGTCTGAACGAATAGACGTCCTTGGGCGTCTTCTCCATTTCACGTTTAACCAAGTCGACGTCGTTCTGTTTGACGTCCGCCGGCGAGAGCACGTCGTGTTTCGCGTAAAATTTGCCGGTCAACGGTTTCGTTCGCAGGCTGGGCACGAATACCTCCCGCACGCTTATCAACCTGTTCTCTTTCTCGAATCTTTCGGTGTACACGCGTAACTTGAAGGGATCCATGAATAACTCGGACGCTACGGCGGCGATCCTACGGATAACGTGCGAGCTGGGCTCGACTCTCTCGACATCGGAAGCGCGAAGACGGAAACAAAAGAGGGAACTTGAACACCTGGACGACAAAGTTCAAGCCTCTCACGCTCGTCATTCAACATCGTCAAGTACTTGAAGAACGCTCGCGTTAAACGAGTGAAGAGTGCAGCAGCGGCACCATGCGGTGCGGGTTCCATTTGAAGTATTGATATTTATTTTAAAATATGTATATCAATAGAAAACACATACATAACAAGCGGAAGACCGTGGCCGATCAGTCAGAGGTTTCCCAGGCCGGTAACATCGTTGTTTCATTTTTTTTCCTTCCCCGTTCGTTTCTTCTCTACTTTCTTTCTCGTAGTCTCCCCAATCGATCCGACCAGAAATTGCTCTCATAAATATATAAGGCGATACTCGTGTAGTAGTAGTGGTGGTGGTAATGGTGTAGCAGTAGTAGTGTAATAGAGTAGTAGTAATAGTAGTAATAGTAGTAGTAATACAAGGAACTAAAGCGCCTGTTGCTGTTTCTTCTCTACTAAAGTCTGGCATTGCGCCCTAAAGCGTCACGCTGCTCCAAACACGATTCGTTGATCGTCGTTGCTTGTCATCGACCAGCACGCTGTCGAGACGATTCACTTCGCTCACGATGCGGAAGACCTGCCTTGGAAGATTCGCTTACTTACAGAGCTCCACTAGAAATCTAATGATCATTTTCATTCGTGACACAATACTGTGAACACAATTATGGCAATAGATGCGGGCTGACGAGCCGTTGAGTGTATATATATATATATATATATATATATTTGTTTTTTTTCCTTTTGATTCCTTGAAGAAAAACGAAAACAGCCTACGTGCACACGATTTAAATTCATTACAGCAGTGGACACTTTCGAACGCGAGTTAGGCCGACCAAGTGAGTGACGTCAAACGTGAGATTAAAACGGATACCTCGTAGCTCCAACTACGTATCTGTATTGCAGCACTGAGCGAGACGAAGCTCCCGACGTTACTCTTCCGCTAGTTAGCTCTGCCGACTTGTATATTTATATCTCTATAAATATTGGAGCCAGAGATTCTCAATTCTCTCAGATACGGAGAGAAGACGCGCGCGTGTCGCTTCGATATTCGGATCGTCTTTCGTTACCGACGAGATACGAAGAAATTCCAGAATGAAAAATCTCACACAATCAACGAGACATTTTCTTCCGCATTTCTCTCGGCTCTAATCTTTTCCGACGCGGGACGACGAAAAGGTAATAATTTAATTCCGCGTTCCAAGCGAAGAAACGTCTCACACGAGACGTAGCAGATGATTTCGGACTAGAATCGCCGGTTCGGAAAGGATTAGGACTACACACACACCTAAAACAATAGTCCCGAAACCCGAAAGTGTCAAGGTGTATATATCTCGATGGTAGCGATATGTTTCAGAGCTGTTGAACACGATCCTCCTCGCTCCATCCTTCATCAATTGCCGTCGCCAATGATTATCGCCGTGATAACGCGATAACGCGAGACACTCGGACGCGATATATCCGTATGATAAAATTACTACAGTAATAAGACGCATTCGGTAAAATGTCCTTACATCCCTAAATTACTTTCCGTCCGAGAGGTATTGCTTCTGTTCGGCGACAGACAGGTTTGGTAAGACATCCGTGGTCGTCGAAGACATATCCCTCGCTTCGCTGAGACGTTGCTTCATGTTTCTGAAAGAATCACAAGGCTGCAGTGTTTGCGGATCCGCGAAGACTTACGCTCAGAGAATGTCTCAGAGAAATTCTTCCTTTCTCCTGCGTAACTTTTACTACGCTCGGCCTTCACTCGTACCTTTTCTGCTCACCGAGCGATCTGTCGTTCCCTTCACCGACTTCCACATCCGCCATCTTATCCGTGTAAGACCTCTGCTTGTCTGTACTGTACTGCGGCAGGTCCAGATTGCCGTTGTGATGGTATCCATTCTCATACCTGCTCAGGTAGCCGTCCAGCAGCGGCGACCTGCAGATGTCGCGTGGCGACAGGTAGTCGGGGTTGCTCGGCGACAAGATCTCCTCGTAATACTCCACGCTCTTCGGCGCCAGACTGCCGACGGTCGAGCCGTACTTCCTCCTCGGCAAGGTCGCCGAGATGCTCCTGCTGCGGTAGGAGTCCGCGACGGCATCGTTGAGAGAGGATCTCGACAAGGGACTCTTGTATGAGTTCACGATGTCGTTGTCGGTGATGATGTCCGTGCTATGATACTTGGCGCGGGCAGTTGCGAGGTCCAACGTCGGCGACCTCACGTATTTTCTCAGGGAATCGTGCGAGGAAGACGGCAAGCTGCCGTAATGATCGAAGATGGACCGCGCCTCCGGACTGTGATGATCGTACGACGACGACGACGCGTTCAAGGAGTCGCTGTATCTCTCCCGGTCGACCGGAGACTTCATATCGTCGCCGTACAAACCGTAACTCTTGTCCGCTCTGCGAAAAAGATGAAAGATTCAAGAAGAGGGGCTGAGGAATGTGGGAAATTTGTGTTTTGTACCTGTTGCAAAATAAGCTAAATCTTTATGCTTTTTAAAAATTCTCGATAATTTCTGTGTGAACACTCATGTATATTTCTGTGTTAATTTAAATATATAGTCTTCATTTAATTCCTGGAAGGCTGCGCCTATTCTATCTTGACACACGACGGATACATCAACGAATAATCATCTGATTCTCATTTCTGCATTCTTAGGAATAATTATTGTATACAGAACAGTGAACAATATATGTCACTATATAGAAATATTAATTTATCTTAGAAAACAATAATAATTACTATTTTATGATAAATAATTTGATATGTGGGATTTCTATAATTATCAATTATTATTAATGTAAAACATAATTATATATAATTCTTATCTCATTGATATACGGAATTATCAATTACTATTGTATAATAATTAATGATTCATTTGGAAATAGTAATTATCGTCAGCAACAATTCTTATTCTCAAAAATACAGAGATGGCATCGTTGAGAAAGTCCGCGCGCGCTTGATCCTGGGGATCCTTACCTCGTCCTGGGGACTCCGTAGCTGTACAATCTACTGCGCGCCCACTCTCTGGAGCTGTTGAAGCTTGACCTTCTGGGTAGAGTCACGCTGCTCACCCCAGGCGGTGGCGCCGTCAAGGACGGTCTCTTCCGGTCGTTGAACCTCGAGTAGAAGCTGCGTCTGCGTATCCGGTCTATAACAGACTCCGAGCTGTCGCCACGCGCGAGCAAAGAGTACGAGGGCGAGGTAGGCGAGTGCAGGTCGCTGCGATTGTGATTCAGGTCGGCCGAGCAGATCGACCAGGAGTCGAAGCTCTCGGGCTCCTCGGGCGAGAACATCTCGCTGATGCTGTCCTCCACCGGGTCTTTCGCCACGTTGTCCGTCTCGTTGACCTCCCTGGACGGATCCGCCGGGAAGATCTCTCGCGGCAGAGTCTTCTCGATGTCCTTGTTCTGCGTACTCTCGGCGACGATCGGCTCGACAACGGGCTGCTGCGGGCTGCTGCGGTCATTTCGCGACTCAATGTGATTTTCGATGATCCGGGCGCACTCGGTGACTTCTCGCTTCAGCTCGGCCACGTCCTTCGCTCGCAGAGGCTTGTCGATGACGATCTTGTTGCCGGTGATGTTGGCGTGATACGTCATCTTCGACAAGCACTCCAGCAGCTTATCGGCATCTGCTTCGCAGGCAGGAGCGTCCGTCTTGGGTGACTCAACGCAGACACTCGAGCTCGCCCTGGGCGAGTCGGACTTGGGCGAGTCTCTCTTGGGAGTCGTGTGTCTGAACGTGTGCTGCGGTATCTTGGACAAGTCGAGCTTCAGACTCGCCCGGTTCGGTCGACTCTGTTCCGAGATTCTGGTCTGGCTGACGTTGGAGTTCGAAGCATTGCGAGCCACCGGACCGGAGGAGCTCTGAGCCGACGACGCGGAGCTCGACACGTTCTGGAGAACGGAATTCGTCTGCGAGCTATCGACGGCCGTCATCCTTGCACTGGACTTGCTCGCTGCAGTGTGGCTCGTCAGGGTATCGCTTTTGGGCACTGAATTCGTGTTTTGCACGGAGTAGTCGACGGGTAGTCTCGCGGACGAGGTTTCTCGCGACTGAAGAACGTCCGAAGACGGTTCGAGGTTCGCCTGCCTCGAGGGGGATTTCACGGGCGAAGTCTGATTATCGACATTGTTGCCTCTGTTAGTCGAACTCTGGACTGGGACTGGGTTCCCGACTTCGGGGCTTTTTTCCTTCTTCGTCGTGATAATTTTCTTCCTCAACAACGACGGCCTCGACGACGTTTTCTCCTTCTCATCGGACTTGCTCTCGGAGCTGTCGGACGACTTCTTCACGACCTTCCTCACGACGCGCACGATCTTTTTCTTCTTGGTGCCGTTGATCTCATCCTTGTCCGCGGCTTCCTTCGGCTTCGCCGGCTTCTTCGTCTTCTTGTCTGCGTCGTCGCCCCTGTCGATTTTCGTGACCGATTCATTCTTGCTCAGGGAACTGATGTTCTTCTTGGTCTTCAACAATTTCTTATCTTCACCGCTCATGACGGACTCTGCTGCGTGCTTGTTGTCCCTCTGCGGATACTCCGACTCGCCGGATAACTTCCTCGGCGGCTCCGCCTTCTCCAGCGCCTTCATCTTCTCCACCGATGAGTCTGATTGCGCCATTTTCTCCGGCGCTCTCTTCATCTCCTTCGTTTGCTTCTCCACGGTGGACTTCTTCTCCTTAGAAATCGACTCCTTCGACTTCTCCTTGGGCGGCGACCTTTTGTACTCACTCGCGATCTTTTCCGGCGACTTCTTGCCGCTCTCCGGCGCCTTGCTCTTCGTCAATTTACCGGCGAATTTAGTCGTCGGTATCTTGGTCGTCGCGACAGCGTCTTCTTCCAGCTCGGTCTTCGCACACTTGGGCGGACTTCTCTTCAGCTTGCTCACGATCGTGCTCTGAACACGGCTGTTCGCATTCAGTTTTGCGTCCCCGCTCTTGAAGATGCCCAACACCGACGTCACCCGTCCGCCCGTCTTGGACGTGCTTTTCACCTTGTCTTTGCTCAACGGCAGATCCTCCACGCTCAACGCTCGCTTCAACAGGCCGCAGTTCGCCGGCTCGGTCGGCGACGGACACTCGACCGGTGGTGCGGAATTCTCACGCAGTCTACGTTCTTTTCGCTCGCCGATTGCCACCGGAACGGCGTCGCCATTCATCGTCGGCTGCTTCGTCGTGGTCTCGTCGCTCGAGCGCAGCCGCTCCAGCTTTCTCTCCAGCAGGTGTAAGAAGCTGCTCTTGGAGCCGCTACCCTGACGCTCGATCTTCACTCGCTCCTTGTCCTCGTTCTGAGATCTATCCTCCGACGAGGCGGTCGCTTCCAGCGACTTGCCCTTCTGCAGCGTGTTTATCTCGTCCTTCTGTTCCTTGCAGATCCTCTCGTCCTTGCGCTCCTCCTCTTTGCGGTCTTTGCTCTCGCTCTTCCGTCTCATGAACCTCGACTTGCGCCGCTCGTTCTCCGCCGCTTTCTGCGCCTCCTTCTCCTTCACGTACTGGCTTTCCTCTCGCGGCGTGTCGAAGAAGTCTGGCCGCAAAAAGCGCGAAATGCGATGCTGCTTCGGCTGCTTCTGGCTCTTGTTGTCCTTCGGCTCATCTTTGTTGTTATTGTTGCCACCGCCGCCGCCGCCTCTGAAGAACTTGCTGAGTATCGACCGCTCCCGACTGACGCTGACCAGCGCGTCCGGCGAGCCTGCGAAGGACTTTCTGCGGTCCGAGCTGACGCTGGATTCCCTAGTCAACGAGCCCGAACGTAGTCGCAGACTTGGGATGCAGCTGCGCCTCTTGGACGCGACAGAATTGGCCGACTGCTCCGTGGCGGAGGAGGCCGTGGCGCTGGTGGTAGCGCCGGTGCTGCTGCTGCTGTTGTTGTTGTTGTTGTTGTTGTTATTGTTGGTGATGAGCGCCTCCTTGTCGCATTTGTCCGTGTCCTTGTAATGGGAGATGAGGTTCGGATTGAACCGCTGCGGCGTGAGGTTCTTCAGCTTGGACTCCTTGATGAGGTTCTCCGCGGCCAAGAGTCGAGTCTCGAAGCTGCGCGACGCCGCGTCGGACTTGGACGTGGTGGAGAAGGACTTGCCGTAATCGCCCAGATTCGACGACGACTCCGTAGGCGAGGTCTCGCAGGACTTGGCCGACACGCTGGACGTCGTGGTGGTGTCCATGAGATTCGCGTTCGAGTTGCACATGGAGATCGACGTGGTGGTCTCCGACACGGAGCCGTTGTTGTCGGCGTCGGTGTCCTCCTCTTTGCACGGGCCGTACGACGCCTCGTCGAGGACAAGAGGCTCCTCCTGGATCTTGTCCGCGGCCGCTCTGTAGCCGTGGAAGTTGTCGCGCCGCGCGTTACCCACACTGACTCCTCCGCCCGACTCCTTGTACTTGCGACCGAGGGTCATGATGTGCCGCGGCAACGGCGGCAACAGTCCGTGTTCCTCGTGATCGTCGAACAGGCTGATGCTTCGGCGCGGTGAGTGCCGTTCGAATCGCTCAAACTGCTTGGCCGGCTCCAGCAGGCTGTTGGCGCGTCTGATACCGCGATCGACCGACCTGCCCCGGTACTCGGTCTGATCGGAGCTCGCTGACGCGGAGTGACGCTTCGCCACCTCGCCGGTCGACGCCATCAGGCTGAGGGTCTCCCTCGTAGGCGACTGATAGTACTTGTCGCGCGGCAACGACTGCCGGGTCTGCTCGATCAACTGCCTGCTCAGCCTGCGTGCCAAGCTCGGAGTGAAGCTCTGCTCCAGCGACTCCTGCGTCTCCTTCCTGACTTGCGCCGTCTCCGCTGCTTCTACGTCTTCGTGTGTTTCTACTTTATCTGAAAGCAATCGAGACAGAGTCTACTACGCACGTCTCTCGCATGCATGTCGCGTATTCGTGTCCTGCGTGCGTGCATGTGTGCGTGTGTATCTCTCTCTCTCTCTTTCTCTCTCTCTCTCTCTCTCTCTCTCTCTCTCTCTCTCTCTCTCTCTCTCTCTCTCTCTCTCTCTCTCTCTCTCTCTCTCTCTCTACGTGTCGATGGCGATTAACTGCTACCATTGGGTAATCGTGCGCGCAAGAATACTCTCCCACACGTCGGTATTTACACTCCTTTATTTCTACATACATAAATCTTTCTTATAAAATCTGTCGAAAAATGTAATAAATAAAATGAAACGTCTCTCTTTATCTCTCTCTTTCTCTCATTAGCTCATTCTCACTCTCTTTCTCTCTCTCCCTCGCTCTCTCCCTTTCAGAGCTTTGTCAAGTTACCGAGTGTTCTGTAAATGGCTCCACATATCGACCATGTATGTGGTGCTAACTGCTTTAAGCACGTGTGCGTCGATGCACACTTTCAAGTCGCCAAGGAGAAGCACTGAACGCGACTACTACGCTCTAGCAAAGTGACTTCGGTGACTTAGAATAGTGGAAGATTTCGAACTAGTCTTAAGGACAGAGATCACACACGTTATATAAATAATGGCTCCTTGGAAATGTGCATCAACGATACCATGTATCGTATCGTATACACGTACTGTGTTCTGTTTCGTATAAATATATTTATATGTCTATACGTATATATTTATATATATATATATATATTAATACAGAAAATTATAGATGTGTACTCATTTAACACTGATCATGCAAGCAAGAGATTCGTTTTATACATATCGAGAGGGAAAAACAGTTACGATAGACTTCACAGACCGACTGTAACAAATACATCTAGAACGGTACGCGATTGGTAGTAGTTATAATATAAAAAGAAAAAAAAGAGAAGAAAAAAAATGAAGGAATCACGTCTCGCAGAATAAATATATACACGATATATTTATACACGCGTGTATATATCTCATCACTCTTAATGCTTTCCTACAAATCACAATGTGTTAAATGAGTAGACTTAAGACAAGAAGTAGTGCACAATGTGGATAATATTAAATACAATATGTATATATGCATTATATCAAAGCATGCGAAGACAATGTGAAGTAATAAAAAAAACGCTGTTATTTAAACTCTTAAAAACACAACAAATATCAGCCATCTCAG